AAGCCCTACAACTGGAAAATGCTATAAGCTCACATGAAGGCTCAGCCTTTTAACGCTTTTCAAAATGAACATGAACTTCTGATTGATTGTATATTATTATATGAGTGTATTATATGAACCACTGCTATCGATTCAATTTTGATGATTGGGAAGGAGACCTGTTTCAACCATGCCTGTATGGGACATCTCAGATTGAGATGAACGGTGGAGAAACCAGAAGGAATAACTTGTTCTCTCAGGAATCGAACTCAGGTCTTTGCCAGTAACAGCGAAGACCCTTACCCTGACACACACTTAAAACGGCGCTAATATGAACAACAATATCTTGAACATAATGATATGATGGTTTTATTTAAGAACTATTATGGCATCCCTGAGAACAGTGATGATTTGGAGATAGATATTGGACGAAAATAAAAACAAAGGAAAACAGAATTAAATCAAATTGCAATCGTCCTGTAAGCCCTATGAGCAGAATGTCACCGAGATGATTATTACAGCCTCAGTTGAACAACTTGATCCCTCACAAATATAGATTCAGATCTCAGAACAAAAACGAAACTTCATGTTACCAGTTGTTACCTGCATTATGCTTTGCAAATAAAAGTACAGTAACGATTTTTCAGATTTTAATTAAATTCAAGCCTTTCCTGAAGAGTACGGAATACGACACGTACGGTTATTGGAGTGTGTGACTCCAGCTCTATCAGGTTTTAAGCACATGGAGTTTTAAAAAATAATCAATTTTACAGAAAAAAAAATCATTTCAACTTTATGTTTGTCGTTTACGTATTATTTATGAGATTTAAGTTTTGGTGTGGAAACACACGAACATGCGTAACTATGTATGCTGTGTATGTGTGCCTATGTGAATGTATGTCTGTGTATGTGTGTATGTTTGTGTGCATGTATATTTGCGAGTGTGTATGCATGTAGGTGTATTTGCAAGCGATGGACAGAGATATAGACAAATAGATAATAAATAGGTGGATAGAAATATAGGTCAACACCCTAAACGTTTGACATACAATACTGTCTACATTGTCTAAGACGGCCACCCATTGTTGAGAAGAAAAATAGTCGTCTTAGACAAAACTTACATACTGTCATCATACTGTTGAAAACAAACAAAATAGGGAAAAGAGAACTGGCCGTTTGTACAGGTGATTTTCATATTATACAGCTGACTGTTAGAGCAAGTGGAATTAAACACTGAAATTGTACTTTTCGGGAAAACTGCAAAAGGAAGGGAAAAATGAAGTCAAGCCGCTCAGGGACAATTAAAATATATGCACTGTATCAAGATCCTGACCTTTTGGACCTGACATTAATTGGCAGCATAAGTGGATTAGAGCCAAAAATGAAAGTTCGGGCAGAAAACTCTGCTTAAGCAGGATCACTTCGACACCTTTTATAGGTCGGTAGACAGCATTACGAGTTACGAGACATCCACGATCAAATATGATTCTGGTCTCAGGTTAGAGAGCTTGATAGCTTTTGAGGTCGTTCGTCGTCGTGTCTTTTCTGAGGATGTTTATAATATATTTTGGCTCTTAAGCCAAATTTATCTGCGTCATTTTTGCCCCACTAGGTACAAAAAAGTCTAATTGTTCTCATAGGAAGGGCAGAGAAGAAAGATGGAAAGACGGAAAGCAGCGATGCAGTACTAAAAAGTCAGCATCGTTATGAGAGGCAGTGGTTTTAATGAGTGTTTTTTTGAAAATTTGTGTGCATATTAAGTAATTAATGTTTATTTTCTATTTATCTAATTGAATAAAATGTTAAATTAAATTAAATTAAATTGAATTAAATCAAATTAAATTAAGTCAAATTAAATCAAATCAAATTAATTAAATTAATTGAATTGAATTAAATTAAATTAAATTAAATTAAATTAAAATAAGTCAAATAAAATCAAATTACTTTAAATTTATCTAATTTAATTTTAACTAATCTAATTTCACTTAATTTATATAATTCAATGTAGCCTAATTTTATTCGATTTGATCTTACTTTATTTGTGTGGGGGCGGGGGCGAGGTTGCACCCTTTCTTCGTCTGCAGTAGCTCTGTCTATTTGGCGCCAAAACACGGAAGAGGACAGAAGACTGAATAATACATGAGTAAAACCTTTACTATAAACCGACACAATTCCCACTGAAGCCATGATATCATTTACACACCAACCACGACAGAATCTTTCATCGACATGGACTCATGATTAGAAAATAAAAGCATCGCGATAACGGCTTGCATACTCCATATTTAGCAGCATAAACAAAGGCATGGCGGTAGCAGCAAGGAACAATAGACTTGTAAAACACTGCATTGCATCGGTATAAATAGAAGCAGGACAACAGTTATAACTGCAGATGTGATTATTAATGAAAGTGAACAGAGCGAAAACAAAAGACTGCAAAAGCCATGAAAATAATGAGGATGAAAAAACACACAAAAAAGAACAACAAAACAGCGGGGACTAAACAAGACGATCAAAAACGAAAAAATAAAAAAACACAATAATAACGGAGAAAATATCAAAAGAAGAGGAATAGGAAGAGAATAACTAGCAAGATGAAAAGAGAAACATGAACACAATGGGAATGATCCAATATGGGGAAACGAAAAATAAAACAACAACAACAACAAAACAAGACTCAACAAGACAAAGTGGGAACAAAAACAATAATAAGAATAATAGCAGTCATAAGAATGAGAGAAGGTATTGGGTTAACAGGGAAAGCACGGAGAGCTCGAATAAACAGAAAGTGTACCTCAAAGAGGAAGTAGATCTAAGTATTAGAATGTATACTGCAGAAGAACTAGCCAGCTGTCGTTGTAACACGGTCGATAGAAGCAAAATAATAGCAATAACGATGACGACGATAGCAACAACGGCAGAGTGACGGCAGAAAAAACGATAAAACAACAGCTGCCGCAGCACGCATAAGATAACCGGATCGAAACCTATACAAATGTTGAGATCATAGTGCAGAAATCATGTTTTAAAAAACATTGTTGCAGGCGTCTTTAAACTGACAAAGAATAAACATGAAAACAACAGCTTTACCACACTTTAACTCTTCAAATTTATAATGATCACGATTTAAGAATCAGATCTGAAAAAAAAAAACGGGAAACAAAAACAAACCCGCAACGTTTAATATTTTTTCCAGTACCTTCAAGGTTAACACATTCCACCTCGCTTCCTCGTAACAAAGCTGCCGTCCCCAGCTCATCACACGTCAGTGTGAAACTGAGAAGGAATTACTCGATGAACTAAAAGAAAAAAAAAAGTAAAGCCGGTAAAAGATCCCCCCAAAAACACAGCACTAGTCTAGAGGGCGAGCACCCACACTGTCAGTCTTGAAAAGGTGAGGAAAGAAATCTACGCACAAAAGCGGAACAGAAGTAGATTCACAGCTTGAGTTTGCCGCCACCGAAGTCGTTGGAAGTTGGAACGCTTGGAACCCTCGCTCGTTTACGGCCCAGTTGAAAAATGCTGAGAAAGTTCCAGCCTGCGAGGAGACGTAGAGGGAAAGCGGGGGGGGGGGGGGGGTGGGAGAAAATGTGGAAGAGGGAGAGAGAGAGAGGGGAGAGGGAGGGAGGGAGGGGAGAGAGAGCGAGAGAGAGAGAGAGAGAGAGAGAGAGAGAGAGAGAGAGAGAGAGAGAGGGGGGGGGGGTAGAGCAAGGAAGAGAAGGGAGGGAGCGGGAGTGAGGAGGGCATGGAATTAGAGGGAAAGAGAGAGGGAGGGAGAAATGGAGAGAAAGAGAAAGTGTGAGAGAGAGAGAAAGAGAGAAAGAAAGAGAGAGAGAGAAAGAAAGAGAGAAAGAGAGAAAGAGAGAGAGAGAGAGAGAGAGAGGGAGAGAGAGGGAGAGAGAGAGAGGAGAGAGAGGGAGAGAGAGAGGGAATGGCAAAGGCGTTCCAACGTTGTGTAGGGTTCTGAAGCATCCATCGTCGGCGCTGACAATGTATTGATTGTGTCTGGTCACAGAGAAAGGTGGAGGGGGAAAGGGAGGAGGGGGTAAGGGCAGAGTGGAGGAGTAGGAGGAGAAGGAGGAGGAGAAGGATGAGGCGCGAAAGGAGTAGGAGGCGGAGGTTGAGGAGGAGAAAGAGGAGTCAAGAAAAGGAGTGAGGCGGCTGCTCTGGTGTGGTTAGCTCTTCCTCTCCTATAAAACCAAATCCATGCTCCTTACATCCCCTCCTTACTTTCCTTGTGTGTTACTCTATAGTAACACCTCTAATTTACGACACTTATATGACCTGTTTGTGTCGAAACTGCCTTAAAACTCTTAATGAAAGATGCTACTAGAAAGTGTGTCAAGATGGAAAAAGAGGACAAGGAGGAAAAAGAAGTAAAACGAAAAAAGACAAAAATGATTACAGAAAAGGGGGGAGGGGGTGCGGGAGAGAAAAGCTATTAGAAGAGTTTTCGAAAGGAGGAATCTGAAGAGGAGGAGGAGGAGGAGGAGGAGGAGGAGGAGGAAGAGGAGTAGGAGGAAGAAGAGGAGGAGGAAGAGGAAGGAGAGGGAAAAGTAGAGGTTCGAAAGAGTAAGAAGAAGAGAACAGGGATAAAATTGGACAGAAAGAAAGGCATAAATAAATAAGAAAAAAAAAGACGACGGTAAAGCCGGAGGGATAAAGAAAAGAAGTAACCCCCCCCCCCTCCCCCAACCCTAACACAAACAAAAAATACATAATATCATATGAAACGAAAAAATGAAAAAAAATAATGGAGGAAAAAAAAGATTTTGCGAAATCGTTCTAGGAATAGACAGGCGAAGCAGAAAAGGGATGGGAAAGAGTAAGAGAAGAAGGAGAAGAATCTGTCTTTTTTTAAAGATAAAATGGCTCTGGAAGGAATTGAAGGATAAGGCCGAAGAGGGATATTTGTTTTGGCAATGAAGTATAGGGGCGGAGGAGAGTATCCCTTTTTAAATTAAGTGGGTGATGTGTGAAAGGAGAGAAAGAGAGAGAGAGAGAGAGAGAGAGAGAGAGAG